TTTTTTTTTCTTAAAGTCTATTTTTCTACTCTTTGCTATAAAATCATGGTGCTGGGGAAAGTAAAGAGTTTGACGATAAGCTTTGACTGTCTGAACGACAGCAATGTCCCCGTCTATTCCAGCGGGGACACAGTCTCAGGAAGGGTCAGTTTAGAAGTCACTGGGGAAATTAGGGTGAAATCGCTTAAAATCTACGCCAGGGGACATGCGAAAGTGCGTTGGACGGAATCGAGAAATGCTGGATCCAACACTGCCTATACACAGAACTACACTGAAGAAGTAGAATATTTCACCCATAAGGACGTCCTGGTCGGCCACGAGAGAGGTAAGGGTCCGCCTTCATAATGCAATTTGGGGTGGCTTTTTTTTATTCTTTTCGGGAAAAGGATGCATCTTTGCATCCCTGGTTCTTTTTTAACGGATGCAATTCGTTACCTTCCTGTTAAAGCTGCGGGAGATGGATCTGCACCGTGCCTGCAAGCAGGGCTGTGTTGATCTCCCTGCCCTTCAACACAAGCATTTATTAATACTTTTTGCTTTTTTAAATAGCATTACCGTTTTGGGGTGGGGTTTTTTTTTTCCACTAGTAGCATTAGCAGGATTTGTCCCTCCGTGGGGAACATCGGTATAAAATCAAAGCCAGATAAGCAGTAAACGACTTCACTGGCAGCATCCAGGCAAATCCTGAAACACAATGAAGGCATAAAACCAGACTTTTTGACACATGGGGGGTTCTGCTTTCCGGGCAGAGAATGTGATGGGATTTTTAAGGATGGCTGCTTATTGGCCGCTAATAGATTCCCCGTGGCTTATTTTGACATGGCTATCGCCACCCCACGTGTAATTTTATATTTATTTTTTTGTAACCTTCTCCCGGGTAAATCTCTTTCATTTCCCCCCCCCCCCCCCTGGGGAAGGGTCGGGGGGGGGGGGTGAACAGCCCAATTTAAAGATGTGTCCAAAAAGCCCTGATGGCGAGCGGGGGCGGGGGGGGGCTGGAAGGGAGTAGTTTGCGGTATGGAAGCATCCCTCCCTAAAACTGGGGGAGGCGAGGACCTCCTGTTCTCCCCCCCCTAATTAGTGCCGTGGGCTGCTGGGGGTCCCCACTCTACGGGGTGTACCCCC